GTGGTGGTGGTGGCTGTGCTAATCGCCTTAGCACTGCACTGTCTTCCCAAAAAGGAAGCGACCTTTCCTCTACTTTTTGTTTTCTACTGCAGCCTTCTAATCATCTAGATGGAGAATACTCGCTGTTGTTGTTTGATGTGCTGCGCTTATGCAATAGGTCTGGCAAGACACACTGCTGTGGTTTGCTGTCGTGTAGGATGTAGATTAATTTGCCCGCTCGTACTTTTAATTAGAGCGAGACTAATTAATTTGGATTAGTGTTGTTAGGGGACGTGGAGAAGCAAAGGTGATGGTGATATAATACCCCAATAATACAAGTATTTTATTTGAAGTGTTGTGTTTGAAGTGCTGTCGGTGTTTGCGGGGAACACACTACCTGATCACTGCCCCTCACTTACCTTTGAGTGAAGGTATTGCGAAACTGCTGCTCTTGTAGTGCTGCTCTTTAAATAATTTATAATCAAATCAAAAATCTAATTCTCTTTTTTGTTTTTTCTTCTCTAGTTCTCTGCGCAAAAAATTTGATCAAGAGGGACTTTTTCAGTAAGTACCATGAAAGCTTTTTTCTTCTTTGATTTGAACAGTATTTCTGCTTTGCCTTTGGGTGGCATTAGTTCTCGTCTATGATGGATGCTCGTAGAAGTAATAGTAATTCTCCAAGAGAGCTCATATTAATATTACCAGTGATTGCCGTCGCAATTCAGTCGGTCATAGCTGTTACGTGTGTTTGTTTTACCCCATTGGTTCGGCGCACTGTTGTGCACTGTTGTTGCCATTGGCAGCGGCAATGGGAAAAGTGCCATTTGCTCATATTTTGGGGCTGCCTGGCAACTTAGTTCCTTCTCACGGAATGCATTGAGTGAATGGAAAGGAAAGAAGTGCCCATCTATATTCAAATGAGACCCCAGCACTGAACTGTACATTAAGTTGGCTTAGCGATAGGGTGCTTACTTACTCTTCGGTGCTGGTATCAGCTTGAAGAGAGCCGCTAAACTCACAACTTGAGCTTTCCGCTAGGACTCCGCTCCCACTTTTGATTGAGTTTGCTGCCGCTGCTGCTGATTCTGTTTTTTCTGCACTAGACCAATTATCGTGGTCTGTGTCTGTGCTTGTTTGCTTTTTCGACTTCCGATCGAATTTTTTTTCTGTCGGTTGCCAATTTATGAGCATGTTTGCGACCCGGCTGTTTCTGCCGCTGATGATGATGGTGATGGCGATTCATTTGATTTTGCTTTTTATTTAGTTTATTGCTCAATTACCAATTGAATTGGAATATAGAAAAACTGACAAACATTAAGTTGATTGAATTTCTTCTTGTAGAATTGGGGAAAAAAGACTTTTTTGCTTTCATTCTTCAGATTGCATTTCTAAAATAATTGTCAGTTGGGATGCTTAGCAGTTGATTTAGCTTTGCTGTGCCTCTCTGGCCTACTCTGTAAACAATTCAAGTCATTTGCCCTTTCTCCATCTGCTCACACGTGCCCTTGTTTCTTCGTTAGACTTGATGATATATTTTTGCTAATTTCTACCATTGTTTTCTCTCGTTTTCAAATCACAGCTGTAATGTGCGTAATTTAGGAGCTGCTGCAGCAGCATTGCCTAATCAATGTGTTTAGCAGAGAGAGAATTCTGCTGTGCTCGCTCCAGGGCTCACAGTGGTCGCCTGTGCATGTGTTTCGAAACGGTGCGCTGCTACTAAAAAATTCAACCGTTTTTTGCACTCGAGCTGCTGCTGTATTTTACCACCACCACCACCACAGCACTGTTCCCATCATCATCAAGCCCAGTGAGCATGACTTGCTGAAAGTGAGACTCACTCGCTGCTCCTTCGTTTTTCCCATGATTGGTCACGCTCATTACACGCACACACCGCAACTGTTTTTGGATTTTTGCGTGTTTTGTACGGCAGCAGCAGCAACAACTGTCACAGAGTTAAGGGTGGTTCGATGCCCTTTGTTTTAGTTCAGCTCTCCCAGTTACATCTCGGGGCCCTTATGCCGGCTGACTGGACACTTCGTGACACCTCAGTTTCTCTCTTGTTCTTTCCCTGCTGTTCTCAGCAAATGAGGAAGGGGTTCCCATGTTCAGTTGCGGGATGAGTCATCAAAAGCGCGGTTTGAAAATGAGCGGACAGTGCTGCTGTGCATTCCTAAGCATCGGCATCAGCAGCAGATAGCCTGCCGACAGTTAATTTGTCATGCTAATGGGAACCCTAATGCGAAGCCATCTCGCTGTGGTTTCCCCTTGCCAGCACTTCTTCCCAGCACTTGATGATTATCGCATCGGCATCAGAGGGGGCAACGTGCTCTATCTAGTGTTCTACTCCCTTTCTTTTCTTCTTTATCTCTTTCTCTTCTCCTTATGATGCAGCCCTTTATAATAATGAGGATGCTGCTGCTGTTGTCTATCTATTGCTAAACCACAATTCACAAATGGTGAATTGCCCGAACGGCACATTTTAAAGTCCGTTGCTGCTGTTGATGATGTTTGAGCTGTAGTAGAAGGATGTTGTGAGTGTGTTGTGTGAGTGTGTGTACTACCACCACCACCACCAGCAAACGACTTCTCGGCGGCAGGCGGCACTTCACTTGCGCTCCACTGGGCGCCAATTGAAGTGGATAATGCAGCAGCAGCAGCTTTTAAACTTAAATTACCTCCTCTTCAACTTTTCTTCTTTTCTTCTTTTTCCTCTGATTCTTGCTGATGCTTTTCAGCGTACACGAGATAGACGATGCTGCGCACTACTTTTTAATCTAATAAAACTGAAGAAGCCTCTGCCGATGATGATGATGGTGGTGGTGGTGGTGCTGGCGTTGTTTCTGCCTCTGCCAAGCACATCCGTTCACTGCCCTGACCATTATATGGTTTGCGCAGATACGATGCTCAACGCTTCCCTGCAAACTGTGATTACACACAGCAGCACAAGGGCTAATTAAATTAGGAGCAGTGTGTAGTAGTAGTGCAGAGCTCAATGGAGCTCATCGAAGTAGACTGCATCTGCTGCTGCGGCTGAATCTGCTGCTGATGTTCATCGTAATGCGCTGCAAAAAGAAGATGTTTCTGTCGGTGTCCATCGTCCTCTTCATCGTCGTCTGTGAGTGTCATTAAACCCCTGTCTGTCTCTATGTCTTTCTGCCAGGAAATTCCTCAATTTTGCTTTCTCTCTCTCTCTCTCTCTCTCTCTCTCTCTCTCTCTCTCTCTCTCTCTCTCTCTCTTTCTCTTTNCTCTCTCGTTTACGTAGTCTGCAGACTGGCGATTAGTGAGCGACAAGGAGACCAGAGATAGTCTGAAGACAAGCGGGAGAGGACAGCGCTCCATTGTGCGTCACAGACAGAGAGTGTGACTGCTAGCCTAACTGCCCAAACATAACCTCTCCTCTCTGCTCTGCCAGTTGAGATGTATTCTTGTCCTTCTTCTCCTCATGTGTGCCCTCCTGTGCCCTTTGTCGCATTAATGGGCACACTTTTTGTTGTCTGATGGTTTGTCGGTCGGTCGGCGGTTGTAGTTGTTTCAGGCTAAAGGTAGCGCAGACACCTCTTCCAATGCCTGCCGTCACATTCGACTGCACACTCGACGACTGTCAGGAGGATGGGCAGAAGGTAATGTTAGTTACACTGACTCGGGTAATTGAGGCGGTGGGCGGTGGTTGTAGTAGTTCACTGCTCACTTCCGAGCCATTGCCCGCGCCGCAGATGGCAGCCATTTTTGGCGCTTGCAGGCCTGCAGAAGAGGAGCACTGAATTGGCTGTCACACCGTGGATGGAGAATAATAAAGGCTGATGATGACAACAAAGGGACTTTGCTGCTTTAGTGAGAGTAGTAATGAGAAATCGGCACTCTTTGGCATCCCTTCCTTTACAATTGAGTTTTATTCACAGTGAAAAACACACAGAGAGAGACACAGTTTGAGGACACAGTTCAGTTCAGCTCATTCTTTTGGTCGTGTTGGGCTCATTTGCGCCCACTTTGTGAAGGCCATCTCAATCACACACACCGACTACTTCTATACCTTCCCCTTCAATCGCAGCTCCTCACGTCATTAGCCAGCTGATGATGATGGTGGTGGTGGTGATTGTAGTCGTCGTCGTCATCATTGTTGTTGTTGTACTGCCATTGTTTCCATTTGCTGAAGAGCTGTTTACCTGCTGCTAGCTAGCTGTTTGCCACTGATTGCCACTGGTTAGCTGCTACTAGGGTTAACAGGTTCACTCAAAGAGAGATCTCTTTTGGAGATCATCTTTAGTGCTCATCTTTGCCGAAATTGCTGTAATAAGCGTGTTGCAGCACGCTTGCATGAACAAGTGGCACTGCTGCCGATGTTGATGCTGTTGCCGATCCATTGCCTGTGGAGGCAATCGATCAAATTGCAGCAGCAGCAGAGGCATTTCCATTGCATGCATGCTCTCTCCTCTGGTGGTGCAATGATCCACGTGACGTGCATGTAAATGCTGACTCGGGGAGCTGAGTGAGCTGAACTGTGTGTGTCCGAAGTCGATTCCAGCAATTGCCGACAAAATTGTCATCCCTTTCTTCATCCTTTACTCATCCTTTTTCTATCTTTCTCACTTTTTTCAGGTTTGCCCGATCCCTTCTGCAAGATCTCTGTCGACGGTGGCCAGTTTAGCTGTGGACAGCAGTGCTACTCGACGGAGCCGTGCAAGGACACACTTAGTCCAAAGTGGAACAAGCACTTTGATCTGTAAGTACTGCTGCTAATATGCCTGGCTAATAAAAATTGCCTGAAAATTGGTGTGTCAAGGACAGTTAAACTCATCGTTATGTTCTTTTTTCCATCGAACTCTAGATACCTCGGCAAGAACGACTGCCTGACGATCTCTGTCTGGAACCAGAAGAAGGTGCACAAGAAGCAGGGCGCCGGTTTTCTCGGCTGCGTCAAAATACTGCCCAGCTTGATACACAGTCTCAAGGATACTAGCTGTAAGTACAACTTCAAGGAAAGAAAAAGGCGACGTTTAACCCGAAAGAAACAGAGTGAATGCAGGCCAGACAGCAGTTTGAACTCTCCAAAGACAACTGACATTTGCGCGGAGATGATGGATGAATTACGCGGCGTGCTTGCCTGCAACTTGAGCAAGCGAGAGGAATTTATTTGTGTGTTGTTTTACTGAGGACTGGAAGACACAGGCTGCCACAGCTTTGCTCCGGCTAATTGCTGTCGATCATCGCAGACTGGTGAGGAAGCTGAAGAACAAGAGAAGGCACAGTCTTCTAACGGTCTTTTAGTGTCAGAGTGCTTCTTCGGTCGCGCTTGTTGAGCATCCTCTGACGACTCTGACTTAAAGTTGACGACGATTACTCGCCGCTGAAGAAGCTGTGATGGTTAGCCTGATGGTTAGCTGCTGCTGCTGCTTCCCTTTACGATCGTCAATTTGGCAGCAGTAGCACAGTGTTTTCTGCACAGCGAGCTGCATTGTTCTGCCTGCCTGCCTACCTGCGCACAACGGTTATTGGCACTGTGCACACACACACTTTGATATGCTAATCGGCACGGGCGCCTCATGGCTAATTAGCACTGACTGGCGCCCAGTAAACTGTATCCTCCTTGAAAGACTACCTGTTGCACTTGACATACCGAGACGCACACACTGGCTGCTTCTCCTGCTGCTGCTCCTCGGTAATTTGCACCTTGGGCTAAGAAGTAGCCTTCTCTGCTCGTTTAGCATTTCATTTCAAGGCAGCAGCAACAGCAACTCCTAATCAGTGTTTGTCTTTCAGTGCCGCTCAGCGCACTACTATCACAGCATTGATCACCGCCACTTTAGAGCACTAAGTTGCAGTACGCACACCTTAGCATTAGCTGCTGATGATGCTTTCTCCTCCGTTTATTCTCTCTCTCTCTTTACTGACACTAATCGATATCGATCGATTTGCCAATTAGGTGGCATCTATCAGCATCGGGTAGGTGTTTAGGTGAAAGGTGAACTCTTCTTCTTCTTCCACTGCTCCAGAGCACCTTTCCTTATTTGCCCGCATAACCGGTGAGAAGAGAAGGAAAGATAGCAGGAGAGAGAAATGGAGTGAAGAGGAGTGAAAGATGCTGCTGCTGATTTGTTAGCTCGATGAGAGAGTGAGAGAGAGTCTCTGACTGACTTCAAGGTGAACAGACTGACAGACAGACAGAAGAAACTGACAAAATGGAAAGTGATCCGGGATGAGTACGATCACTTTTGATTATGTATTACACACTTTTGGAGTGTCGTTATTAGCATCGCTGAAAATAGCATCGCTGGGGACGCTAATGACGCATCATTCTCCCTTGGCTGCTGCTTCACTTCTCGGCAGGGTAATCGATATCGACGCATCTCATAATTGGCCTGCTGGCTCTCTGCTCTGCTCTCCTCTTCTACCGCTGTTAATTGTGCGCATTCTGCCGCTTCTATTAATATCCCCATCTTGCACGAAAAGATGGTGGTGATGATGATGATCCTTTCCTGTTTTCTTTTTGTGTGCTCACTCTTGCACCGAACGAACTATTAGCAGCGGACAGCAGCTTGTTGCGGTTTTCCGAGAATTATTATTAAGAGTTGAATTGAACTGGCTGCTTTGGGTTGCTTTTCATTGCTCGCAAGAGCACGCTTTGATATTTAACGCGCTCTCTCAAAGTATGGTGGTCTTCCACCACCACCACAACTGCCATTACTTCCAGTGGTGGTGATTACTGCAAGAGCAACTGCAAAACATATTGCCAACGATTGTCTGTTTGTTGCGCTCTCCGCTGCTGTTGATTGATTGAGCTGAACTTGAACTGAGTTGCAGTGGTACTTCTGCTGCTGTTGTTGCTGCTGCTGCTGCTCGTTACGGGCGATCCTGGCTGCAATTTACAATTTAAATGGAAAGACTGTGTCTGTGTCTGTCCTGTGCTGGTGAAGAAGGGGGGGGAGAAGTTTGATTTGCAGAAGTCCTCTCTTATTAGGGGTAAATTAGTTTGCAGTCGGAAGAGAGGGAGAGAGAGTACAGTGTCGTTATTTGATCGCCACAAAATGGTTTTTGGTGCCATCCCCTTCAGTCAGTCGATACACATGTATGTACCTGCTGTTGTTGTTTCTATTTGCTACCTGTTGTTATTGACAAATGCAGAAACACCGAGTGTGCATATGTGAGCATGTGTGTGTGCTATCCCTTTGGCAAAAAACTCGACGGTTGCACGCCGATGTAAATGAACCTGAGGATGGTGTAGTGGTGGTGGTGGTGCATGAGAGGAGGTAGTCCTGCACGAAATGCATCTGCTCAATTGCACTGCAGGCCTTGCATAGGGAGAGGAGTACAGGTGTGCACTGCTGCTGCTGCTGTTCTTTGAGGATTCTCTCTCCCTCCTTTTCCCTCGCACTGTTTTGTTGTATCCCTTTAGTTGTTGTATCTTCCTGCGCCATCATACTTGACCACCAGCACTTGAAAGCAGCAGCAGCAGCAGTGCTGGCACACATGTGCTCACTAAAGTGCTTTCCACTGTACGGCACTCATTCACTACGGCGAAGGGAAGGAAAAGATGTCCTCTGCCTGTTTGCCTGTTCTGCCTGTCTGTGTGTGATGTGCTTCCAACAGGATACACCAGGCTGCAGCAACTGTGATGGACAATGGTGGTGGACAACGGCATCCTCATCAGATGACCTTTCTCTGCACCTCTTAATTGCCTGCGACTTTTTCTGACTGATGCTGCTGTTGCTGCTGTTCACAGGTGCTAATGTGCGAGTTTTCTTTTCCGTTGTGCTGTGCTGTGCTGTTGTTGGCAACGGCTGCAATGTTTTGCCCTGTTCTTTCATTCCACCAGCACTTGCAAGTAAGGCACTGTTCTATTCACAATGTTTGTTGACCTTGGCTGAGACGATTCTGTACACTGATGGCTATCACCAGACAGGAGTGGACTGTTTATACTCCTGCTTCCTCATAAGCACCACATGACCACCATCGCCAGCACAGTGCGAACATTGCCAGGAGCACCTTTTTGTCAGTGATTTTCTTCTTCCTCCTTCCTCCTCCTTTTTCTTCTTCTTCCTCCAGCAGACGTGATGCTATGCGTGCGATGCTGCTGATTTACTGTGTTCAAAGTTGTCATCGTCAGTACTATTCGGCTACTGTGTGTGCACTTTGTTGCTTTGCTGTTTTTCTCAAAATCTTTCCCCTTCTATCTCTCTCTCTCTTTCCCTCTCCCTCTAATGACTGGCCAAACTAATGAACAGTGCTGATGATGGTGGTGACGAAGGTGAAAATGGAGAGATGGATTATTTCTGGAAGCGAGTGACAAAGTATGAGTGTGGATATTTTGTGTGTTTGTTTGTTTGCAGGTAGAGAAGTGTCTTGTGAGTGTGTCCTCCACTGATCGATGCTGCCACTGCCACCACCACCACTCACTCGCTCATTTACTTGCCAAATCACTCGCATTGCAAAGTCTGTGGGCGAAAGTACGTTTTGGTTTCTCTCTTTGCCGCTGACAGCTTTCATTTACCTTTTTGTCTCTTCTCATCCTTTGTGCAAACAATGTTCTCTAATTGATTTCTCCTTTGTCTTTCTCCTCCCCACCACCACCGACAGTTCAACGCCTTGATCTGCACAAGTTTCGCGAGGACGACGCCGACATTATCAAGGGGCAGATTGTGATTATGCTCAGCTCGCGTGGTTGTGCCGCCGCCGCTGCGGCTGCTGCTGCCGCTGCCGTTGCTGACGGAAGCTCTCCTCGCCCATTGCCAGGAATCTCAGTGTCTGAAGTCTCGGGAGTGGCCAGCTCCAATCAGCAGTCGTCTGCTGCAAATCGCACCTTTGTGGAGGGCTTCGATGAGCTGCCTGAAGGGTGGACAGAGTGTCGGTCACTGAACGGCCGTCTGTACTACATGAACCACGTCAATCGGACGACGCAGTGGGACCGACCGACGGAGCCGGCCTCGGTCGTTGCTGCCGCTTCCGCCTCTGCTGCCGCCGCCGCTGCTGCCTCTGCCTCTGCCTCATCCACTGCCACTCCTAGTCGACCAGCTTCTGCCCACCGAGCTTCATCTCGTCACTCGAAGCATCATCATGGCCACCACGGAGTGCAGAGCTCCATTGACTCGACCAACAGCGTCGCTTCCTCGAATGGCTCTCTTGGTGGTCTACCAAGTGCGACCAACTCTGGCGCAACTTCAGCTACTGCGGCCACTACGACCACTGCCACCTCCTCCTCCACCTCCACCACCACTTCCAGTCAGCCTCGCGGAAGTCACGGTCGTCGCTCGACTCGCCATCGAAACTACCTCGCCCGAAATCAACTTCACCAGGCGGTGCTCTCCGCCATGTCCACCTCAAACTCCAATGGAAGTGAGGTGAACTTGGAGACATCATCCGCTTCGCCGCCTCTGCCGCCCATGCCCGATGGCTATCAGATGCGCACCACCGACCAGGGCCAGGTGTACTTTGTGCACCCTGAATCGTCGGCCACTTCGTGGATCGACCCTCGCGTGCCCAAGGAGCTGCTCCATCTGAACGACCGTTCACACCTCAACCTCGACCAGCTGGTCGGGCCGTTGGGCAGCGGTTGGGAGGTGAGGCACACCGGGGCCGGTCGGCGGTACTACGTCGATCACCTCAAGCGGACGACGCAGTTTACCGACCCGCGACTGGTCGCCCACTCTGCGGCCATTCTCGCACTGCTCAAGTCCATTGGAGAGTCTGCTGCGAACTCAGGTAGTGGTCATCACCATCACCACCACCACCATCACCACAGTCACCACAGTCATCATTCGAGTCAGCAACAGGGTCGCTCGCAGTCGAGTGGAAACTTGCAGAATCTAAGCGAGCAGCAGCAGCAGCAAACGACCACTAAGGCAAAGTATAGTGCCAGCAACAGTGCCAACTCCACCACCACCACCTCTTCAGCTTCAGTTTCAGCTTCCTCGACCACTCTGCTGGACAACTACAGTCTGCAGGCGCTGAAACGAGGCATCTCACTGCTGCCCGCCAGTCAGCAGGCCAAGCGGCGCAGTCTGGTGCAGAAGATGAGCCTCCTCCGCCAGGAGCTGGCCGCCTTTCAGCCCGCCTCGGGCCACTGTCGCATTGAGGTGTCGCGGGAGGACATCTTTGAGGACAGCTACCGGGCCATACTGAAGATGCGCCCGAAGGACCTGCGAAAACGACTGATGATCAAGTTTAGAGGGGAGGAGGGTCTCGACTATGGAGGCATTGCCAGGGAGTGGCTGTACCTGCTCTCACATGAGATGCTCAATCCGTACTATGGACTCTTTCAGTATACGAGGGATGATATCTACACGCTGCAGATCAACCCTGATTCAGCTATTAATCCGGTGAGTTTTGGAGAAGTTTTTGTTGAAGGTTTTGATTATAATTGTGATTTTTTTCGGTTATTTCCTTCGGCAGGACCACCTCTCCTACTTTCACTTTGTCGGTCGCGTCATTGGCATTGCCGTCTTTCACGGGCACTACATTGACGGCGGCTTTACGCTGCCCTTCTACAAGATGCTGCTCAGCAAGCCGATCACCCTCGAGGACATTGAGTCGGTCGACCCGGAGCTGTACCGCAGTCTGCAGTGGATGCTGTGAGTAGATCTATAAAACCATTGTTGTACACTAATTACTAAACCCTTTCTTTTTTACCACCAGTGACAATGACATCTCCGCCCTGGAGGACATCACCTTTAGCGTGAACCACGACGCATTTGGGCAGATCACAGTGAAGGAGCTGAAGCCGGCGGGCAAAGACCTGCCGGTGACTGAGGCAAACANCATTTCTATTTCACCCCATCTCTGTTCAAATTACTAAACCCTTTCTTTTGTTCACCACCAGTGACAACGACATCTCCGCCCTGGAGGACATCACCTTCAGCGTGAATCACGACGCTTTTGGGCAGATCACAGTGAAGGAGCTGAAGCCAGCGGGCAAGGATCTGCCGGTTACGGAAGCGAACAAACGCGAGTACGTCCAACTGTACGTCAACTACCGCTTCACGCACGGCATTGAACAGCAGTTTCGAGCGCTGCAGAAGGGATTCACTGAACTGCTTCCACAGCACCTACTGGCCGCCTTTGACGAGAAGGAGCTGGAGCTGGTCATTGGCGGGCTGGGCCAGATTGACCTGGCCGANGGCGCTGCAGAAGGGATTCACTGAACTGCTGCCCCAGCACCTCCTCGCCGCCTTTGACGAGAAGGAGCTGGAGCTGGTCATTGGCGGACTGGGTCAGATTGACCTGGCCGACTGGAAGCAACACACACGGCTGAAACACTGCACTCGGGAGACTCCGATTGTGGAGTGGTTCTGGCGGGCGGTGGAGACCTTCTCGGAGGAACGACGAGCACGGCTGCTGCAGTTTGTCACCGGCAGCTCGAGGGTGCCCCTGCAGGGTAAGTGGTTGAAGTTTTTTTCATTTAATTGTAAACAAGTCTAATTTTAACATACTTTTTTGTAGGGTTCAAAGCTCTGCAGGGCTCTACTGGCGCCGCCGGTCCTCGCCTCTTCACCATCCACCTCATTGACGCGGACGTGAACAACCTGCCAAAGGCGCACACCTGCTTCAATCGCATCGACATTCCACCGTACACCAGCTATGAAAAGCTGCTGGAGAAGCTGACGCAGGCCATTGAGGAGACCTGTGGCTTTGCCGTTGAGTGATTTCGGAAAGTCAGTGGAAATGTTTCTTTTCTGGAATTGTGATAGACACACACTACACATCTACACTGAAGCTCACACCGAGAACAATCTGGTGATTATTGAAAATCTTCTTCTCATATCTCTCACATCTCTCTCCATCTGCCATTTATTGTGATTCAACAACAACACACCCCTCTCTTACACACACTCGCCAAACTTCTACATTGTACATAGCTGCTGCACCTCTACGACTTTAGTGATCCCTTTTCGATCTTCTTCTTCTTCTTCTTTTGTAAGCTCCCCTTTCTTACCATTTTCTAACTTATTTTGTTACTTCTCCTTTGGAACTGTTTCTTTTTTGAATCTCCTTTGCAATTATTACTCCAATAAACTCTGTCCTTTTGATAGTCAAAAGTATGCAAGTTTGTCAATTTTCAAGTTTGTATAACGCTGTTTGTGACTGTCTCATAAGCGCCAGAAGGTGTCGCCACCAGTGACGATGCCAGATCGGTCACGCAACATGGCCAACATAAGCGAGATTTTTCCCATTTTCATTTTCTTTTGCTTCGACCCGTATTTGAGTTCTGATTTGAAGATTTGAAAACTTGAAATAAATTTGAAGATGGTGGTCGTCGTCGAACTAAACAAGCTGCTGCGTTTTTCATTTTTGAACTCAAAACTGGTAAGTTGTGCTTTCTTTTTAAGCTTGTGATTTTTTAATATAGCCCCAGATATTTCCTTTCACTTGAGGACTTATAGGGAGGGAGATAGAAAAAGTGTGAAAGATGTGAATATGAAAGTGAGTTGTTTGTTTGTCTGAGATGAAATAGAAAACTAAATTGATGAAAAAGCAGACACTTGAGCCCGAGTGGTCCACAGTCAGCTACTTTATTTCTTTCTTTGTCTACATTTTTTGCTTGACTTCTTCAAAAAGCAAATTTTGAAGACTACTACTCAACGAACAATTCTGCGCCCAGAATTTGTCTTTCTGATCGACAGTGTACCCATCATTTTTGTTTGTGTCCACTGTTTTTGTTCTTATTGTTGCTGCTTCTGCAGCTTTTCTCTCTTTCTTATTTTTTCTCTGTTTGTCGCCTTTGTTTGCACAGCAAGTAATGCTGAAGACGAAGAAGAACGTCGGACATTGGTCCTCCTGCATTAGCTTTGTCCATCTTTCTTTCTCTTTCTTTCTGTTGTGTGTTTTCCTTCTTTCACCATTTTTCTCCTCTTGTCCTGTCTGTCTGTCTGTTTATTTTCGTTTTCATTTCGCTTATCGTTTCGTCTTTTTGTCCTCGTCCTTGTAAGATAGGTCAGTTTCACAGTCTCCCGGTGAATGACTGGTGCTGCTGATGGTGCTGTCTTGCCTGTTGTATGTGTGGTCAGCGGCGAACCAAATGTCGCTAACGACATTAGGCAAAGTTTTTGCCATCTTGGCAACTTTGATTCTTAGTTCTATAGTTTACTTTCTATCATCATCAGCTGGAAAGAGAGAAAGGGAAAGTGATCGAGAGTTGTGAAAGTGAAAGAGAATCTTCATCGTCGTTTTCAGCAAATGCACAATCGTCTCCGATCAGTTCTCCTATCAGGGTTCGATTTTTGCCTTTACTTTGGTTTTTTGTTGGCCCCGTTTTCGCCTTTTGCCGCAGTGTTGATTTTGTTTTTAGTTTCTACTAGAGTGCAGAGCCACTATCGCTTTTCCGGTGCAAAGTGTGCCGTCTCGGTTTTTATTTCATTTCATTTCATTGCCAGCTCTCCCATTTACACCTCTCACTCATTTTAATGTGTTTGCCAATTAATCTCTCGTCCTCTGTTCATCCTTTTGCTGCGCTCCTATATCTGAACGAATGAGTATTTGCAAACGAAGGGGTAGAAAAATGTGGTTCGGCCGGTATTGCCGTCACGCTTTGCACTGGAAGATTATTAAAAAGTGGGTGCAAAAAAAGAGAAGCTGCACTTGTCAGAATCATATTGATTTATCCTTTCCAATTCGTCTTATGCTAGGCACTATTTTTACTGGCAATAAAACGCACATTCCACTGAATGGCTCTCACACTTTCTCCCACTTCACAACTCTTCTTCTTCTTTCGCAACAACCCTTTCTAGGGTAGATCAATTTGGGGCTATGATCTATTATTTGTGAGTCCTTTCATTTCATTTCATCTCACTTTTATTCCACTTGCTTTTTAGCAGTCTTTTTGCTCAACGTGTTCACCCACTTATGCCGCCTCGCCGTCGGCCGACTGAAGTGAAGTGCAGTGGCTTCACTGCAGCTGAAACACTACCGATGCCTACTTACCTACTGCTGAGTTGAGCTTTAAAGTTGTTCTCTCATTTATTTTTTTCTATTTGTCGAATTAGGTTCCCCATCTTGCTTTCTTCTCATTTACGAGAGCACTAATGTGCACTAAAAAACGGGGGTGGATGGTATGGGTATGCTGAGAAAAGTGTTTTGTGTTCTACTTTTATTTTTCTTCACTTTTCCGCACAAACACTCTACTCCCCAAAGCTGCTCGGTGCAATTATCTTCGCCTTCTTTTCATTCTTATCACTTTTCTTCTCTTTTTCACTAATCGCGTGTCGGCGACTGCTGCAGGACTGCTAAAGTCTTTTCCCTTTCTTTTTCTGTCTTGTGTGTATCATCGCTGCGAACAAAAGGGCGAAAAACTCAATTTGCTCGGTTAATTCAATTTACCTGGCAGAGGCAGTCAATTTCAGGGCTCGTTCCCTTCAGGCGTCCACCACCACTTCCCCACATCAGTTCTGTCATTGCGAATCGATTTGAGTTTTAGTTTTCGTTTTCTTTGTACCCANAAAGCTGCTCGGTGCAATTATCTTCGCCTTCTTTTCATTCCTCACTTCTCTCTTCTCCTTTTCACTAATCGCGTGTCGGCGAGTGCTGCAGGACTGCTGAAGTCTTTTGCCTTTCTTTTTCGCTGTCTTGTGTGTATCNTTTTCCCTTTCTTTTTCTGTCTTGTGTGTATCATCGCTGCGAACAAAAGGGCGAAAAACTCAATTTGCTCGGTTAATTCAATTTACCTGGCAGAGGCAGTCAATTTCAGGGCTCGTTCCCTTCAGGCGTCCACCACCACTTCCCCACATCAGTTCTGTCATTGCGAATCGATTTGAGTTTTAGTTTTCGTTTTCTTTGTACCCAGGACACAGCACTGACTGCATCCAATGTGCTGTTTTCCGCTCTTTCACCAACTGTACACAGTGCACAGAATTGTTTTCTCTTTTGCAGAACTTTATTTTTCCAATTCCAACTAGATCTAGTTCGAGGCATTAACTTTTGCCACCACCGCCAGCAGCAACTACTTTCTCTGGTTTGCACTTTGTTCTCGCACACTGGGCACACTGTGATCAACTGACGCTAATCTTTTTCTGGTAATTTAGCAGTGCGAGTTGCAATGAGGGGGGGGGGGCACTTGCTTCTGACTTTGACACTGTTTGCGCAACTGTTCACTTACTTTTTCTCCTTCTCTTTGCAAACTGGCCACTCGACAACTGTCCTGGATGATGGTGATGGCCGTGTCCAGGCAATCGCCGAGCCTTACTTTTCTCCTGAATCGCTTTGACTAGATTCCATCAGCTCCCCATCACACACTAGCAAGACAACGACGACAACGACGACCGCCACCAGTGATTACCGGTTTTCACTCGGAGCATCTTAGGCAGATGAACGATTCGTTTGCCCTTGTTTGATTTGTTTTGCCCACTTCTTCCTTTTTCTTATTCTTTATTCCGTTTTCTGGCAGAGAGCAATTAGANCTGCCAAGACGACAACGACGACAACGACGACCGCCACCAGTGATTACCGGTTTTCACACGGAGCATCTTAGGCAGATGAACGATTCGTTTGCCCTTGTTTGATTTGTTTTGCCCACTTCTTCCTTTTTCTTATTCTTTATTCCGTTTTCTGGCAGAGAGCAATTAGAGAAAAGAGAGAGAGAGCGAGTGAGAGAAAGAGAAGCGGTAAAGTGTCGCCGTTTATTTGGGCAATTATTTTCCATTAGTCTGATCGGAGGGCGACGGAGCGCGGGGCACGAGTTTCCGCTGTGGGCGCCATTTATTTTCTCCTTCCATTGGCAGCAGCAGCCGCTTTTGCCTCCTTTCTCCTTCTTAACTGGTGGGCTCTTGGCTAATGTGATTTGCACTGCAGAGCACACCATTTAGTTAAAGAGTTGGAGATGGAAAGAAGAAGAAGGTTAACCCATTGCCGCCGAGTGAAAAGAATCGGCCACTGTATAGTGTAGACCACCACTGTCTTCTGACCAAATCACCTTCTCGTGGTCTCCCTTTCTCTCTCCTTCGAAGACTGATGGTGATGACCGTCATCTTCGACATGTAGACGGCGATTTATTATTAGCAGGAGAGAGGAGAAAGAGAGAGAGGACACAGGCAAAAGTGGGTCCATGTCTGCCATAAATTACCACCACCACCACCACCGCCATTGCCGTTGAGGACGACGACCATCAGCTACTACCTCTTAGAGAGTGGATGACCATCACTGCCGCTGCTGCTGCTGTTGCTGCCGGTGCCGCCGCTGCAATTTCGCCCTTTTATCCCTTCTTTTTGCAGCTCCTGTATTGTATTGTATTGTATTATTTCGGCGGCTGTTGGACATACTCATTAGGAGGCAAATGTGTGTGTGTGTACAGTGTCACACATATTGCACCTTCTACTGTTTGGCCGCATTTATATCAATTACATTTGCAGCTTTCTGCGGAGGCCTGCTGTGTGTGCTGTGTGCGTTTCGAGGTCGAGCGAACGGTATGTCCTTTGTTGGGTATCATGTACTGCAAAACACGAAAACTTTGTCGTGTACCTCTTTCCTTTCGGTTTCTCTGCCTTTGCCGACGGACTGGTGTTTCATTTCGGTGGCAGCAGCTCTTTTATGGTCATTTGATTGAAAGAATAGAGGAAGAGGAGGAGATGGTAAAAAGCTGGCTGGTTTTTTGCTCCTTAATGAATGTACCAAGGTGGTGCAGCAGTTTTTACACCAAGCTAATGTGCCTGAATAT